TTCTGTGGGTTTTCTAGGACGTGCTTCTTAACATAATTGTACCAAATGGTTTGCAGATGTGATCACTAAAAGTTAATATATTTACATATTGATTCTCAATCGATATGAAGACCAAAAACAAACGTTACTTTCATTATAAGCGGCGTAAGTCATAATGGCATCAGTACAGGTTTTAATCTAAATTAATAAGAAATCGCAGATATCTGAATTGTTGGTTTTTATTGTGATTTATTGGAAGACGTTGTGTGTGTGTGTATACAACCATTAACGGTGTGACATACAATGTGTTTTAATTAGATTTCTTGTCTAGAACAACGTTAAATTATATTTACCTAAATCTAATCCCACCTTATAATTTCCGTCATTTTTCTCCCAAGACAATAGCGCTTGGAATCAATTCTTTCATACTCAGTTGATCAAGTTAATTAAAAGTTATGGTGTCGCATTGTTTGTAAAGATCAGTTAGTTAATTTGGCTCCGGAGAGTTTCGCTAGCTTACATGGGTAAGAACCATTAGGCTTATTGAAAATGGGTTTACTATAGGCGTTAAACAAACTCTGCATCTGAACAATACTCATTTGTCTGTTGTAAAGATAAAAAATCGTTAGCAATTAAAGAATGAAATTGTTGTTGTTTTTTCAACTAATTTACCTTCCGAAACGTTGTAGCTCTTAGGGTTTGGATTATAATAGATACCAATGTCATATTTGATGTTTTGTCTGCCTGATGAGGTTTGCAGAGTACTCAGTATGCGTTAGCCGTCTCTAATTATGAAGTGATAGGCTAGAGGAAAGGCAGCTAGTCAACATTACCCAGTGTACTCAGTCTACGCTAGCCGTCCCTAATTTTGAAGTGATAGGCTAGAGGAAAGGCAGCTAGTCAACATTACCCGGCGTACTCAGTCTACGCTAGCCGTCCTTAATTTTGCAGTATAGGCTAGAGGAAAGGCAGCTAGTCAACATTACCCAGAGTACTCAGCCTGCGCTAGCCGTCCCTAAATATGAAGTGGTAGGCTAGAGGAAAGGCAGCTAGAAAACACTACCCATCGCTTGGGCTACTTTTACGAACGAATATTGGGATTGGACGTCACATTATAACGACTCCAGGACCAAAAAGTCAAATCGTGTTCGATGCTGAGTTTCGATCTCGCCACCAGCAGATTGTGAGTATGGTGCCTTAACCAACAGGCCGTGTCAGGCTGCCATAAATAAGTTATTTTCGATATTTTCCTATAAAAATATTCTATTCATTCGATAAAGTTGTGTAACTTAGAAATATGGTTATACATGGTTACACGTAGCTAACTCTGTATACAATAAAGTAATAAATAAATAAATTTTGTTGGTTTTTTTTAAAAACAGGTAAAGTTTTATATTTTCTTACTACTAATTAAAATTCGATGACAAGGAACCCACTTTGAGACTAATAATGGCTGGAGACGGCTTGAATGGGTAATGAAGAAAAACTTTAATATAAGTTTAACATAACAGCAAATGTACAACGTTTCAACAAGGTTTTGTCATCATCATTTGTACCTGATGATGACTGTCCATAGAAGGCACTAGTAATATTTACTGACTGTCCATAGAAGACACTAGTAATATTTACTGACTGTCCATAGAAGACACTAGTAATATTTACTGACTGTCCATAGAAGACACTAGTAATATTTACTGACTGTCCATAGAAGACACTAGTAATATTTACTGACTGTCCATAGAAGACACTAGTAATATTTACTGACTGTCCATAGAAGACACTAGTAATATTTACTCCTTTGAGAACCTTTCTTTTATCTAATGTTTTTAAGTATAATCATGCATATTAAAATCTGTTTATGTTACTGGCAAATTGTGAACAATTTCACGTACCCACCTCCAGTTGGTCAGCGGTAAGTCTGAAGGCTTATAACGCTAAATACCAGATTTCGATACCCGTGATGGACACAGCACAGATAGCCCATTGTGTGGCTTTGCGCTTAATGACAAACAAACAAACAAATCACAATAAAATAAATGACGAGGTGGAAAGGCCGATGTTAGTTAGCCTGTTTGAACCGTAGTCGTCCTTTTAATTACAAATATCACGTGGTTCAGCTAATCAAAAACATAAAATCTGGGAAGATAAACTGATAGAGTAAGCCGAATGAAGAATTCCAAAACGCAAATCGAAAGTTACTTTTAAGTAAAACTTCGTTATGTAGCATGGTGAATGGAAATGTCATAAAACACATAATAACGAATTACTTAACGCATCTGGGCCATATTGATTGCATGGTGATTGATGCTTTTCATTAGAGGTTGATGTAACACTGAAGATCAGTTTAGTTTGAAATAATCAACTTTGTATTCCATCATCACCAGGGCCCAAAACCCTCCCAAAAGTACAATCAATCCCAGTAGGAAACTTTACTGATTGATTATATGTTTCTGAAATGATAATTTTGTCACAAGTGCGATTCGTGAACACGTTTATCTTCTAGCTTCAGTTGATGTTTGAAGCTGTTTTATCGAGATGAAAACTTCAAAGATCTGGAGAAGCACTCAGTAGAGCGTAGCACATACCACTCCCCACGCAGCGTTGAACATATTCAGCCTACAAAAAATACGAAAATGTGTCCGTCTTTATCAACGAACACGGATCATTTTTGGCAGGACAATGAGGAATAATATTTTAGATATATCCACCAAGTTTTATCAAAATCCGATCATTTTTTTGACTGAGTTGTAGAGTAAAAATTGTGTGAAAAACCGGTTCCGTGTTAACAGGTAGGGATATTTTTGGATTTTCGTGTCCTGAAACTGTGACCTTGAATAACTCAAAACTAATCGCTTCTAATTCACGTCATAGTTCAAATGTATACTAACTTTCGCACAAATCCATTTAGCCATTCTCGAGAAATCTTGCTGACAAACACACACACACACACACACACACACACAGGATTAGAAATATAACCTCCGTCCATTTTCGCTGCCGGCTTAAGGGTGAAACACTTTTCTTTAAACAGTATTGTGAAATCTTGCTGACAAACAAACACACACGAGTGAAAATATAACCTCCGTCCATTTTCGCTGCCGGAGGTAACAAAATGGCGTAAGTGTGAAACACTTTTCTTTAAACAGTTTTGTGAAATCTTGCTGACAAACAAACACACACACACACACACACACAGGGGTGAAAATATAACCTCCGTCCATTTTCGCTGCCGGAGGTAACAAAATGGCTTAAGGGTGAAACACTTTTCTTTAAACAGTCTTGTGAAATCTTGTTGACAAACAAACACACAGGGGTGAAAATATAACCTCCGTCCATTTTTTGCTGCCGGAGGTAACAAAATGGCTTAAGGGTGAAACACTTTTTTTCGAACAGTCCTGTGAAATATTCTGAGAAGGTTTAACGGTTAGTTAATTTCAAAATTACCAATGGTGTCTATGTGGATCTCAATCTGGTTTTTAAATACATTTTTATTGAGCTATTTATATGCACCAGATTGCTTATTGGTCCATAATTGTGTTTGTTAGAATCCATAATAACATAAATAACAATATAAACAAAAACACCATGAACACTGTAATTATTCCAACTAATTACAGTTCGTTACGCTGAATGTTGTAACAGGCAAAACCACAACATTACTCATTATAATGGCATAATGAATGAATGTATATACAAGTCTGTAATATGAGGGTAAAACAAACATAAAAATGTAAAATAATAACATGATAATGTTTTTCCAGCAGAACCTTTTTGTAATCAAAACGTGGTGTTGAATTTTTATATCAGTAGAGCAGTGGATAAAGTTTGTCTGTGTGGGATTGATAACTTCTTGTATATTATTCATTTAAATATGACATTCGAAAGCTGGAGCTACAGACACGTGGTGTTTAATAGGAATTTTCTGAGCTTCTTGTACACCGATAAAACACGGTTTTGTTACTCAAAAATAGTCTTAACATTGAATCATTTTACATTTTTTTACATTTTAAAAGTAGTTATGTTCTTTGTTCATTTTGTCTAATTCATAAAAGCATTTTTTGAAACATTCTGAATCAATGCCACTGTATAAAAGTTACATAGAATGATTTGGTTTTAATAAACTAACTTCTACAGTATTAGGTTTGTTAATTCCTATTTACCTTGACAAAATGAGAAGTTACTTTGACAGAGATCCTTGAGTACGTCATATTAAAACGATTCTTGATACAAAAATGAGCAAGTAACATGACGTCCAATGCCTATATAAAGTTACAGTGAAATTGGATGTATCAGAACTACATTTTGACAGTATTTGACATTTTATAATAGTGTAATAATATGTAAAATCTCACTCCAAAGCAAAATATTCATACACTCAGATCATAAGATGTCTTCGGATTGGAGTTTAGAAGTTTCAAGACAGGGATAGTTTTTTTTTTGCTTAGTCGGATTGGATATCAAAACAAAAAAGTGACGAGTACAGAAGCTGCTTCCGCGAAATATCCATTTAAATCATCGTATTCCTCAAACAGCAGGAGATTGAAAGTGGTATTTATGCATTCCATATGAAGGTTTACCGGCCAAGTCATCAAACACAGTACATATGGATTTCTGTATGATCGCACTGTAAAAATAGCGCTTGGATTATGGAAAGCAGGAAGGGGGGTGTGGTGGGCTTTGGAAATAACAGCCTTCCGAAGGAGCCCTTTGTAATGGAAACTACGCTGCAGGGCTATTATCAAAACGCACCATCGTCAGAATGAGCACGACTGGGTTGGTAAGGTAGACTTTAACGACTTCCAAATCACTTTAATGTAACACACTTAAATTTTGTATCTTCTCCATACATAAAAGCTGTCCTTGAATTTTGATTTAATACAACTGTATTTCTCCATGAGCCTCAACGAAGCAGTTATACTCAAACAATAGCCTAAAATAATATTTATTTTAATGATTAGACGATTATTTCAACTGGATACATTACATATAAAGTTTCTACTACAAAGTTACTATTTCCTTAGGTTTTGATCCAGCAATTCCTGGTTTTAAACGATATTCAATGATGGTAGACAAGGGGGAAGGAATATACAACTTGCGTATATCAAATACAACGCTAGAAGATGAAGGAAAATATCAGTGCCAGGTCAGTAAGCTTCCGATAAAAATACTGTAACCAAATAAAACGATCAAGTAATTGGTTTCGGTCTATTTCTTTCACCGAAATGTAAACTAGTCTAATATTCCTTACATGTTATAATGTACACGTCAATGTAAAACTACCCAGTCAAGTATACTGACAAATATTTTCTTAGATACGTGAGTGTGTTGTTCCTAAAATCTTAGGCTTAACCCAGGCCACACCAAATAAATGACTCATTTACGTTTCCGATTGATTTATTTTGTTTCTGATAATTTGAAGATCATCATTGTTTATTGCAATATACACTCTACATATCTTCAATGTGTGGCCTAATTACTCTAGCTTCTTAGGCCTTGCAGTTTTATCGTTCCGTGCTCATAAAATCCGAATGTGTATCCTCTCCATAAAATGCCAGAACTAAAGAACAGAATGTTTGTCTAAGTGATGCCAGAAAGGCAGAAATTTTGCTTATTTTTTGCGATACTTATCTTTGTCCATCTGTATACGATATACAGAAACAGCTTTTTAAAACACACATAATATATTCTCTCCATATACAGAAACAGCTTTTTAAAATACACATAATATATTCTCTCCATATACAGAAACAGCTTTTTAAAACACACATAATATAATCTCTCCATATACAGAAATAGCTTTTTAAAACACACATAATATAATCTCTCCACATACAGAAATAGCTTTTTAAAACACACATAATATAATCTCTCCATATACAGAAACAGCTTTTTAAAACACACATAATATAATCTCTCCATATACAGAAACAGCTTTTTAAAACACACATAATATCATCTCTCATATAATATAATCTCTCCATATACAGAAACAGCTTTTTAAAACACACATAATATAATCTCTCCATATACAGAAACAGCTTTTTAAAACACACATAATATAATCTCTTCTGTTTTAAAAAGCTGTTTCTGTATATGGAGAGATATATTATGTGTGTTTTAAAAAGCTGTTTCTGTATATGGAGAGATTATATTATGTGTGCTTTTAAAAAGCTGTTTCTGTATATGGAGAGAATATATTATGTGTGTTTTAAAAAGCTGTTGTGGGGTGAAAATGTACGTTTTTAGGAGAACTCAGATCAACGAGTAAAATGAAATCAGAATAACGACTCGTATTTTTTTCTACTCGGCAAGTGGAGTGTTGTCACGACGAGTGTGTTTATTTTATTATTAGAAGTTCTAGCAACGATTAGATTTGTTTGAAATATGTTGCCTGGATTAGTCTTCTAATAAAATCATCCAATGATTGAGTTACTTACGTCTCATAATTATTAGGATATCACCTATGATAGTAATCTTGATTCGATTTATACGTTATTCATCACTAACTACATGTTTGGCGCTCTCACGTGCCAAATAAACCATATCTGATGGACTGGAAGAAGATTTCAATTCTAGCAAGAAACAATACAGAAGCTTCCAGACTTTAGTTGATGTGTTATCGTTGTCGTGACTTTTTCAGGTTGGACCAGCTCCTAATGAAGGACCTATCAGGGCCAGAGCAGAACTCACTGTCCTAGGTAGGATCATAGAGGGATTATTGTTATTTACAAAAATATTACAGATATTTATTTATAACTATACAACTTTGGAGATATATTTATCCAATTTTCTACCTTATTTGATTTCAAGATTAATGGATATATCAACATTTTGATCATAAAATATTTTATTTAACGATCAGAAGTGGTCATATTTCTGAAAAGTTGCTTCTTAATTGAACTTTAAAATATTAAGTGTGAAAGGGTAAGTAAAATAGCAAC